ACACACTCTCTCTCTTCTACACACACACACACATACAAACTATCACTCCGTCTCTCAAACACACATTCTCCACACACTCTTTCTCTCCCCCCCCCACACACACACACATGCACACACACTCTCCACCACCCGACTCTCTCACAGTCTCTCTCTCCCCCCCACACACACACTCTCTCCAACAACCCCCCCACACACACACACTCTCTCTCTCCCCCGACAGACACACTCTCTCTCTCTTCCCCCCCACCCACACACACATACACTTCCCCCCCTCCACCTCCCCCACGTACACACACACAGACATGCACACACACACACACACGTGAATCTATGGGGTGAATTTATATTTGCAGATACATTTTGTTTTGTTCAAAAAGCATACAATTTATAGACAGTCAGTCAATATGGTGTTTTATATATTCCTACTTTAGAAATAAAGCCAGTCTGACTCCAAACTAAAACACAAACAGATTCTAAACAAGAATATCTAATATACCTAATATGCATTGTCTAACCTAAAATGTCACCTCTTCTTCACACTGATAAAACCTTTAGTTCTCTCAGGACCGGTGACTTGAAAGGAATTTGGGGATTTACAAATACATATGAATCAATTAAAACCTTCTAACTGATTAAAGATTTAACAGCATCTTAGGTTTGTTTAATGCATCCTCATCAATGATGTGAACTTTGATCTTTTATTTACAAATTCTGCATCTGATACTACCTCTCTCATTAATACCTGAAGGAGGACAGAGGTTCTGAAAGCTTGTGTTTTCAAATAAACCTGTTGGACTATAACCTGGTGTCCGTTCAATAAAAGACAACTTCTCATTTGGCTTTCTAATTCCTTGTTGTACCTGCATGCTAACTTTCTGTATTTCTTGTATGAATACACCCAAGTCACTTTCAACACCAACATTCACATGTTTTACACAAATTTTACCTCTTAAAGAAATTCTGCTTTTCTATTTTTATGACCAAAATGAACAACTTCACATATTCCACATTATTCTCTTACTTGCCATTTTACTGTCCACTCATTTAACCTGTTTCTGTCTCTTTGAAACAATAAAAGCAAACAATGGAGGATGCTGAAAATATGAAATAATGACAGAATGTGCTGGAGAAACTCAATAGGTCTGGTGACATCTGTGGAGGGAGAAACATATCTGCGGAGAGAAAAGTTTATGTTCAGAGGCCAATATGACTCCTTCTCAAAGCTATGGGGGCTGGAAAATGAAGAAAGACTAATATCCATTACAAACACATCTAATCACATAGTTATCTTGACAACACTGGACTGTAGTGGTTCAAGAAGGCAGCTCACCGCCACCTTCTCAAGGGTAATTAGCCATTGGGAACAAATGCTGGCCCAGCCAGTAGCACCCACATCCCATGGATACAAAAAACATTCTTACATCATACTTGCTGTAGGAATTCCATTTCATTCTCCCAAATTCTCCATTTCTATTGCATTGGTTCTGATTATGTCGCCTTTCACAGGGGGTTTCTGACATTTCTTCCTTTCTCCTCAACAGAGGATCCTTCACTCAGTGGTTGACAGGACCCTCAGCTGTGTCCAAGCCTTTTCCTGCAGTTGCACCATCAACTCTTCGCCTCCCTCCGAGAACAATGAAAACATTTCCATTATCTTCACATTCTACCCCACCAACCTCAGCATTCAAAGAATCATCTTGTTATTTCCGTCACTTTCAGCAGGGTGCCACCAAACATATCTTCTCCCTGTCATCCTTATTAGCATTTCACAGGGACCACTCCCTACATGACACCTGGGTCCATTCCTTGATCATTCCATATATTTCCTCACCTCTCATCTTCCACTGCAATCACACAAAGTGTAACACCTGTCCTTTTACCTCCATGCTGTCCAAGTCCTCAAACATCTCTAGATGAAGCAGAGGTTTATTTACACTTCCTTCAATTGAGTCTACTATATTTGCTGCTCACAATATGGTCAAGACAAAATGTAGATTGGGTAACCGATTTGGGGAACACCTCCACTCTGTCCTTAAGTTGCTTGCCATTTCAAAAAAACCATCTTGTTATCACGCTAACATCTGATTTGGGCCTGTTCCAGCAAAGCTCAACAGAAGCTGGAGAACAGCACTTCATTTTCTGTTTAAGCACTTTACAGTCTTCAGCACTCAATATTCAATATAACAACTTCAGAGCATGTACGCTGTCCTCACTGTTTCTGCCTGTATTCCATCCCCACCATCTTGTTGATAAGGGTTCGTTCTCAGCAAAGCAGACCTGTTTTCTACTACAGTATTCACATTCACCATTAAAACCTATTGTGCATACACCTTGCATCTATATCCTCCTACTACAATTAGCACTTGCTTTGATTTTTGTGCTCTGGGCACCTCACCATCTATACCACTCACTCCTCCACTCCTTTACCAACAGCATAGAAACTATAATTTTTCATCCCCATTGAGGTCCAATGAGTCATATTAGATTTGAAATGTTAACTTTGTTTCTCTCTCCACAAATGCGGCCAGACTTGCTGACTTTCTCCAGCATTTTTTTGTTTTTTTTATTGCATTTCTTTGCAGTCTAACTGTGTCCTCTACAAAACTGTTCTTTCCATCTAGCTTTGTATTCTCAGCAAACTGAGATACGTGACTCTGTCTCTGCAACTAAATCATTAATATAAATAACTGAGGCTCCTTTCAGCATGCCACTAGTGATAACCTGCCAATCTTGAAATTGGCATTGTTAGGACTCCCTTAATAATAAAATCCAATATTTCTCCAAAGATTGATGTTACGGTTCTCCATCCTCAAAAGCTGTATTATGTATACCAACTTCTAGTCTAATGGGGCCATTCCTGAATCTCAGGAATTTGGGAAAAATCATAGCTAGCATATCCACTAACTCTGCAACTATCTCTTTTCAAACCTTGAGTGTAGATCATCACGTCCAAGGGATTCTGTCAGATTTCAATTCCTTGAGTTTGCCCAAAACTTTTTTCGTATAAATTACCTTAATTTCTTAACTCCTTCACAGCTCTTAGCTGAGCTTCTACTTTTGTTCTACAGTGAAGACAGACACAAAATATTTCCTCACTCCCTATGATAGGGAGTCTTTGCTGCTAAGGGACTAATGCTTATTCAAACTATTGTTTGTTATACACTTATAATAGTACTTTCTCATGAATGTAATCATGTCATGCTTTACTGCTACTTTGCCATTCTGTCTGTCTTTCTGAAATATTGTATACCCTGAAATATTTTTTCCCAACCTTGAAAACCAACCAACCATGCCTCTCTGATGATAATTAATCTAAACTGTTTATCTGTGCCACTGGTTCATCTACCTTATTGCAGATACTATGTGCTTCAGATAAAAAAAAGCTAGCAATTTCAGTGTTTTAACTTCTATTCCCTGAAATCACCTGACGTGCCATTTATGTTGTACGCGCTGGTTCCTCTTGTCCCACTTCGCTTGTCTTTACCGACATCATTCCTCTGTTCCTTTGCCAGAATTTACTCCAGCTCCTATTTTGTCTTTCTAAAACAATCCATGGATTTCTAGCCTTGTGAACATCTGCCCATTTTTACATAGATCATGAAATAATGTCATTCTGTATTTAAACGTTATCTGCAAACAATCCTAGAAGCAGACAATTAAGTTACAGAACTTTGTGAATTGAATTAATACTAAATTTCAAAACAGGGACTATGGTCTGTTGATTAATCATCTCTTTGAAGCATTGTCATGGTGTCATCAAGTTTCAATTAAACATACTTTATTTGATACTACTATATTTGTTATTTAGGAATAAGTCAAAGACCTGTTATGAAGAAAGTAAGTAAAAATACAGCAAGAAATGTTTCAAATCAATATTATAATAGTGAATAAACATTGCTGTTAGAGAAAGAAAAACACCAGTACCATACTTTGTATCATCTCCTATTATGTTAATTATTATGTTAAATTATGTTGCTTAAATGCTTACCACTGGTGCTGCCATAAAACATCACTCCAACTGTGATATACACCTGGAAAACTTCAGTAACCTTAAAAAGTATGTCCAGGCCAAAGTTGGTGTTCATTTGAATGTAATTGGAAGAGCGTCTATAGATTTTGATATTGCCTAAAAAAATTAAAATAGTTATGTAAACAATAAATATGCCTACAGGTTTCCTGCACCACAGATCAAGGGTCACCTGAAATTTGATGAGTCCATTTTTTTTCTAAGATTTGATTAGTATTAACCCGTGCTGGAGTGTTCTGGTAGTCTGTCAAGTTTAATGACACAGCATCCACTTGACAAATGACTGGAAACTCAAGGACAAATTATGATTGTTCATTCACATGAACCCAAGGAGAGTTGGCCTTATAAATCTAAAACTAAACCGTGGAATGCATCATAGATTTCCAGTTTTTATACACAACAGGTCAAGTACCAAATGCTGATCAGATGTCTCGTTGATAATATACGCTTTCCTACAAAACATATAACAGGTGCTGCTTGTATTTACCCAGGGTCTTCCTTATGTTATGACTGTGTGATCTAGCTATCCACAACTCTATGCTATTTTTGTACATCTTAATCCTTCAGTTGATTTTTTAATCAAACCAGTTCTGAATGAAATTGCTTATCTCAAGTTAACCCCTAACTAACTGAAACTGCTTAACTCTTATTCAACACTTTCAGTGGATAAATGAGAACCAAGGGATGGAATGTTCTTCGATTTTCAAAAGGCACTTGATAAACTGTGTTAGGTTACTGTAGAATACACAAACTCATGGTGGGGAAGGTAATATATTAGCATTGATAGACAATTATTTAACAAACAGGAAACAAGGTTGTGATAAATGGCTCAGTTTCAAGCTTACAAACTAACCAGTGAAGTGCTGGAGTGATCATAGCAGGGGACTCAAATACTTATGATCTATATTAATGACTTTGTTAAAAGGACAGAGTATTTTGTAACTAAATTTGCTACTGATGCAAATGTAGAAGAATCTGTAACAGAATACATATAAGTAAGTGCACCAATACCAGCAGACAGTAAGGCGAGAAAAATAGTGAGATTGAATACTTTGACAGGAAGGATGCAAAAGCAATATGTGACTACAATCACAAAAAAGTTAGCATGTGGATGCTGCAAAATAAAGCAGGGAAATAGAATGTTGCTGTTTGCTGCAAGGAGAATGAAGTACAAAAGGAGGAATGTTTTGTTATGACACAAAAGGACATTGGTGAGAATGCAATTGGAATTCTGTATACATTTCTAATATCAATATTTATGGAAGGATATATCTGTATTGGAAGCAGTTCAGAGAAAGTTCACCACTGATTGTTCAAATGAAAGACTATAGGTTAGGCCTATAGTCATTGGAGTTTAGAAGAATGGACACTAGAAGAATGAGGTATTGCATTTTGGTACAACAAACAAGGGTAGAGCTTATACAATTAATGGTAGGCCCTTGAGTAGTCTTGTAGAACAGAGGGACCTAGGAGTGCAGATACATAATTCTATAAAGTTTGTGTCACATATAGACAGGATGGTTAAAAAAGCATTTGGCACGCTTGCCTTCACGACTCATTTCTTTGAGTGTAGGAGTTGGGATGTTATGTTGAAGTTGTACAAAAAATTGATGAGGTCTCTTCTGGAATACTGTGTCCAGGTCTGGTCACCCAGTTATAAGAAGGATATTATCAAGCTGGAGAAGATTCAGAAGGGATTTACCAGGATGTTGCCAGGTATGGAAGGTTTGCGTTATAAGGAAAGGCTGGATAGGCTGGGACTTTTTTCACTAGAGCGTATGAGGTTGAGAGATGACCTAATAGAAGTTTATAAAATGAGAGGTTCAGATAGAGTTGATGGTAGTTGTCTTTTCCCTAAGATGGGAAAATCTCATGGGGGCACATTTTTAAGGTGAGAAGAGAGAGATTTATAAAGGACATAAGAGGCAAACTTTTTACACTGATGGTGGTTCATGTGTGGAATGAACTTCCCGATGAAGAGATGGATGCAGGTACAGTTACAACGTTTAAAAGACATTTGGATGGATATATGAGTAGGAAAGGTGTGGGGGGATATGGGCCAGCAGCAGGTAGGTAGGACTGGTTCAGTTTGGAATTATGTTCGGCATGGACTGGTTGGAGTGAATGGTGTGTTTCTGTGCTGTATGACCATGACTCTATGACTCTAATTTGGTTATGTGAGACTATTCACATTGGTAGTGAGAAAACAGAAGCAGAAATGTTTTTAAAGGTGTGAAAGTTCTAAATGGTGAGGTTTAGAGTTACTTACATATACTCATACAGAGAAAATTAGGACACAGGTACAGCACACAATTTGTAAGGCAAAATTGCATTTTAGCTTTTACAGCATTGAAGTACATGGATAAAGAATATTTGCCACAATTATATAGGGCTTTGGGACCACACTGGAGCGCTCTGCACAGTTTTGTCTCCATCAAAGAAAGATATGCTTGCATTGGAGGTAGAAAAGCAAAAGATCAATAGATTAAATCTTGTGATAAGAAATCTGTGCTATGATAGAAGTCTGAATATATGCTCTCACCCTATGGTCTCTGAGTTTTGAAGAACATGAATCAGATGTTTGGGTTGTTAATGGGTAACATCCAGTTGTACATCATCATAGGATCAACATCCATGTGATGCAGCATCACGTGCTTTGGCCCCTCATCCAATCTCATGGATGTTTATGTCAATGATGTAAGCCAAAGCAGTAAGATGTGTTGCAATAAAGTTCGTGTGTTATATGCTTTAGCACACACAAAGTATTTTGCATTAATCTAACAATAACAATACCAAGCACATAATGACAATGATTCCAAGAAACATAAAATTCTGAAGGGGCTTGGAAGGTTAAATACTGGGAAGCTGATTCCCTTGGCTGGGGAATCTAGACCAAGGGAGCCTAAGTCTCAAGATAAGGAGCTAAGAATTATTATTTCCACCCAAAGCATTATGACCTTTGGAATTTTCTAACCCTGGGAATTGTGGATTCTCTATCAGATAGATTTTTTTTGCCTCCCTGAGAATTAAGGGATATTAGAGGTGGATAGGGAAGTGCAGGTGAGGCAGAAGGTCAGTCACAAGTAGTGGAGCAGTCTCAAGGATGACTGTGCTCTTTCTACTCCAACTCCTATTCCTTGTGCACTTATTTTCTTAACACACCTCGTAACTGAGCACTAGTTTGTACACGGGCACGAGTTTGACATTGCCCTCTCACCAGAACACAGGCTGAGAACTGTCAAATGGAAAGTAATTTTTAAAAAATTATTTGTGCATCTAAGCACATACTAACTAAGTTAACATTTATTGCCCATGCCAAGCTGCCCTGGAGAAGGTGCTGTCTTCCTGAATCTCTGAGGTTCTTTGATGTAGGGACACCAACAATGCTTTGAGGAAGTACGTTCCAAAACTGCGATGGTAGCAGTGAATCAAAGGTAGTATACTTCCAAGTCAAGATAACATATGGCTTAGAGGGGAAATTGCAAGTGGTAGTGTTCCCACACATCTGCTGCCCTTGTCCTTCTATGTGGTAAAGGCCGTGGGTTAGGAAGATGTCGTCATCGGAGCCTTCCTAAATTAATACAGTACATCTTGTAGATGGCAAATACAGCTGCTTCTGTGCATTAATGTTGAAGGGAGAGAATGCTGATCTGGTAATTAGGTGCCAATCAAGTAGATACTTTGTCTTGAATAGTGTTAAGCTTCTTGTATGTTGGTGGAACTGCACTCTGAAATAACTTCACAAAGGTTGGTATCCCATCACCAAGTCATTCTTTTATGTACACATATATAGTACATGACACTGAACCAGTTAGCACAGAGCCAGCTCCGAGAGTGAGCAGAATCCCTGACACTCCTGTTTATATTTGTCAGCCAGGACTCCCTGATTGGTCCAGGTTAACAGTCCCAACTGGGGAACTCATATCCAATGAGAACAACCTGGCTGACCTTGTTCCAATCACTACACACTCCAATAGGCAAGTTGGGATATATTGTATCCCATTCCTATCATGTGTCTTAAAGAGAATGGACTGGAAATTGGGGAGAAGCTTGCTCACAAGAAAGGCTGAAAATACAAATGTGCGAGTAACCCAGATTTGCAAACTATATATGCATCCTTGTGCTCCAAAAGGTGTATTAGCAGAAAGTCCCTGTGAGACAAGCCATTTTTGTTCTTACCTGTCCGAAATGGTAAGTTTTTGCGTTGATTATTTACTTCTATTTTTCCATTCATTGAAAAAACAATTTTCATCTGTGAAATTTAAAAAATGTTAGCTAAATTCAAGCAATTTTATTCATTAGTTTAAGGCAAGAGCTTTGTATGATATGGTAAAGAAATACTAAGCAAACTACGTGCTTAAATAACACCATTGCAGGTTTGGGGTAGAATATCCCAAGGAAAAGGAAATTGGATGGGGTTTAAAATGGACTTTAATTCAGTATTGCCAACTTGCTGTTACCATACAAGATCAAATTCAAAACAAAACCAAAGGGTTGCCGTTGCCGGAAATCAGAAACAAAACAGAAAGTGCTGTGAAAACTCACAAGATCTGACAGCATGTTGGGACATAACTACAGAACTGTGTAGTTGAGTTATACTGCAAGGATGGCAGCAAACAACATGGAGTCAACTTTCTGTATCTCTCACAACTGACACTTCCATCTCTGCAATCTTTTGAATTGCTCTTTAATAACCCCAAACTGTTCTGAATGACTAACTAAAAACCTTGCAATAAGCCCCTCCTCTATTGCTGGGCAGAGTTAAATGTTGCCACCTGGCAACTTTTCAAACTGACTGTTCCATGAAAATATCTTTTTATAATATGACTTGAAGGAATTTAAACAAAAACATGTTACATTTTTTAATACTTACTTAGTCTTCCTTTTCAGCATGAGACATGTGACAAAGTATAATAAAGTCAATAAAGTTGCCATATGACTAGTGGGAGATTAACCTGAGAGTCACCATACCTCAGGCAAGGGGATAGGTTGCGAAGGAGTGTCCTTCACAGTAACTTCAGCCACTGCAGGAATTGAACCCATGCTGCTCGCATTACTCTGCACTGCAAGCCAGCCATCTAGCCAACTGAACAAACTAATCTCCACTCACATTTTAGGGAAATAAATAACTTCATTAATGAGATACTTCCTGCAATATTTCTGCTATCAAAATTGATATCACATGTTTTAATGTCATCCCAGTTATTTACTTGAAGAGATTCTGCAATACTTTACTTCCTATGCAGAAGAGTCTGCACAAATCCTTGTCAACTTTCATATCTTATGACCAATGAGTTTGTTTAGATAGAGTCACTGAGCTGTACAGTATGGAAAGTTACCCTTCGGAATAACTTGTCCTTGCCGACCAGGTATCTTAAATTAATCTAGTCCCATTTGCCAGCATTTGGCCCAAATCCCTCAAAATGCTTCCGATTCATATACCCATTCAGATGCCTTTTAAATGTTGTTATTGTACCAGCCTCCAGAACTTCCTCTGGCAGCTCATTCCATACACACACCACCCTCTGCATGAAGAAGTTGCCCCTTAGGTCCCTTTTTAATCTTTCCCCACTCACCTTAAACATATACACTCTAGTTTTGGATTCCCCCACTCCAAAGAAAACACCTTGTCCATTTACTCTATCCATGTCCCTCATGATTTTATAAACCTCTATAAGGTCATCCCTCAGCCTCAAAGCTCCAGGGAAAATGGCTCCAGCCTATACAGCCTCTTTCTTAAGCTCAAACTCTCCAACCCTGGCAACATCTTTGTAAATCTTTTCTGAACCCTATCAAGTTTCCTTCCTATAACAGAGAGACCAGAACTGAACAATGTATTCCAAAAGTGACCTAACCAATGTCTGTACAGCCACAACTCCTATATTCAATGCACTGACCAATAAAGGTTTGCATACCAAATGCCTTCTTCACTATCCTGTCTACCTGGGACTCCATTTTCATGGAAATATGAACCTGCACTTCAAGGTCTCTTTGCTCAGCAACACGCCCCAGGACCTTACCATTAAGTGCATAAATCCTGCCCTGATTTGCCTTACCTAAATGCAGGATTTCACGTTTATCTAAATTAAACTCCATCTGCTACACCTCGGCCCATTGGCTCATCTGATCAAAGTCACGTTGTACTCTGAGGTAACCTTCTTTACTGTCCACTACACCTCCAATGTTGGTGTCATCTGCAAACTTACCAATCATACCTCCTATGTTCACATCCAAATCATTTATATAAATGATGAAAAGCAGCGGCCACAGCACTGATCCTTGCGGCCCACTGCTGGTCATAGGTCTCCAGTCAAAAAAACAACCCTCCACCACCACCCTCTATCTTCTACCTTCGAGCCAGTTTTGTATCCAAATGGCTAGTTCTCCCTGTATTCCATGTGACCTAACCTTGCTAACCAGTCCACCACGAGGAACCTTGTTGAATGTCTTACTGAAGTCCGTATAGACCACATCCACTGCTCTGCCCTCATCAATCCTCTACACCACTTCTTCAAAAAAATTCAAGTTAGTAAGACACGATTTCCAATGTACAAAGCCATGTTGACTATCCTTAATCAGTCCTTGCCTTTCCAAATACATGTAAATCCTGTCCTTCAGGAATCCCTCCAACAACCAGCCCACCACTGATGTCAGGCCCACCAGTCTATAGTTCCCTGGCTGTTCCTTACTACCTTTCTTAAATAGCGGCACCACTTTAGCCAATCACCAGTCTTCCAGGACACCACCTGTGGCTATCACCGATACAAATACCTCAGCAAGTGGCCCACTAATTATTTAGAATCATAGTGTCATACAGTTGTACAGAATGGAAACAGACCCCTTCAGCCCAACTCATCCTTGTCGACCAGATATCCTAATTTAATCTAGTCCCAGTTACTAGCATTTGGCCCATATCCCTCTCAACCCTTCCTGTTCATATACACATCCAGATGCCTTTTAACTGTTGTTATTGTACCAACATCTACTGGCAGCTCATTCCATACACGCACCACCCTTCCCCTCTCACCCTAAACCTATGCCCTCTAGTTTCAGACTCCCCCGCCCCGGGGAAACAACCTCAGCTATTCACCTATCCATGCCCTTGTTGTTTTATAAATGTCTATAAGGTCACCCCTTAGCCTCTGACGCTCCAGAGAAATAGCCCTAGCCTATTCAGGTACTCCCCATAACTTAAACCCTCCAAACCTGGCAACATCCTCGTAAATCTTTTCTGAATCCTATCAAATTGCACAACATTTTTCATATAGCAGGGAGACCAGAATTGTACGCAGTATTACAAAAGTGACCTAATGAATGTCTGTACAGCCACAACATGACCTCCCAACTCCCATACTCAATGCACTGGCCAAAACAGGCAAGCATACCAAATGCCTTCTTCACTATCCTATCTAACTGTGAGTCCATTCTTAAGGAACTTGCATTCCAAGGTATCTCTGTTCAGCAACACTCCCCAGGAACTTACCATAAAGTGCATAAGTCCTGCCCTGATTTGCCCCACCAAAATGCAGGACCTCACATTTATGTAAATTAAACTCCATCTGATCAAGATCCCATTGTACTCTATGGTAACCTTCTTCATGGTCCACTATACCCTCAATGTTAGTGTCATCTGCAAACATATTAACCATGCTGATATAACAAGGTATAGAGCCAGATGAACACAGCAGGCCA